ATAAGTACAAACATAAAATTATTTTTTCATGTTTATACACACATATGACATTAATACGTATGTATACTTTTGCTTAAATAACTTGGGTCATTTATGGATACGCACATGAATTCGAGTGCTACTAAAAATATCTAACATAGGGTTCTAATTTTGACTAAATGTTTTTAATAATATTTTTATGAGTATCTCAAATCTCAAATAGTGGAAGAATTTCTCTACGATTTGAGATACCCACTCGTTAAAATATTATTTAAAAACTTAGTCAAATAAAAAACCCCATGTGAAATACTCACTATTAAGGATACTCTAAGATTGTTTGAAATTCGGCTAATATGAGATACTCACCATTGAATATGCTTTTAGATTGTCTGAAATTCGGCCATCCAAAAAGTTTGGATCAAATGTGGATAATGATATCTATTACATGTTTGAGTACGGGTTATAGTCTATACGTTACATGATTCGTAAATGTCCTAAGACTTGGTAGATATGATGTTACATGTTAGCTCCCATTGTAAATTTGTAATACTTTCGATTTAAATGATAGTATTGATTTAAGATAACTTGATTGAAATATCTATATAATCAAGCTACATTAGTTTTTCGATAGACCATTTTGAGAGAACTCTATACTGTCAGGGGTAAAAGTTTTATTTTTACAATTTTTCTGAATGAAAGATTGTAATATCTGAATGCATATATGAGGAATACTTAAAGAAAAATTCTTTAACTAATTTTATTATTTAAAGTGTGTCTCACTGAACTATTATTTTATATTCTTTCTGTATCACAATACATGATTTTTAAGGTAATGACACAACAAATAAGAAACTCAATAAATAATGTAATTTTTATGTATTTCTATATTAAAAACTATTTATTATTTAAACAAAATTAATTCAACCAATCATATAAAATATTGCAAAATTTAAAAAATCACAAAAACTAATAATTATTAAATTTTTGCATAGAAAAATGAGAACATCAAATAATGTGATACAAAAAAAATTTCTAAAACATCATGTACAAAAGGAATAGAATTTTATAGCTAGACGTGTTCTAATAAACTGGCATAGGTGACAAATATTGAAAGCTCATCCACCAATAACTTTTTTTTTTGTTTTGGTTTTACATCCACCAATAATTTATCAGAAAACAAAGACTCACCTTTAGAGCATGATTAATGATGGGTGTTAGTGGATTTTTTAATAGGTTGCTAAGGGTTAAAAACAATTAAATAATCTTAGCACCCCAATTTTGGAGTTGCTAATTTTACCATTTTAACACCTCAAAAATGGAGTTGCTAAGAGTAAAAAATAGTTAAATAATCTTAGCATCCCAAATTTAGCAACTAAGGTTGATTATGCTCTTACGTGGACAGCTTTTCTGTCTTTTCATATCATGTATAATGCATCTCTATATATTTACGCACAAGAAAGAAACTAAAATCTCACATTTTCATTACACTGTCTATTGTCTCTCCATTTTTAGG